ACTGATTGATTTTTTTTTTTACAACTGTCTGGAAGAGTTGTTGCGAATATTCCCACAGCGAATCAGCAGCGGGCTGAACACACACGCAACCGCGACGCGGAGCACGCCTAGAGCACGGAGTAGTCGTTCAAGAAGAGTACGTCTTGTGAAGACACAAAGTTAAACATAAGCAGATAATGAAATCCAGCTGCGATTAGACGTCAGAGTAACTGCAACGATTCCGTAAGCGAAATGGTGCGGGCTATTCATGAACATCCCACGAAAATAAGTCGGCCGACGTCAATACCTCTTGAGGAATTTAGTATGCAACGGCACAGGCGTGGCTGAAATCGCAGATTGCAATCGCAGACCTTCAAGTGGATGCTGATGACTTTGGCGAATTATAGCGGATACACCAGAGCTTCTTCAGAGCCTCCTACGCGCCCGACGGGCGTACAAGACCGCCTGCCTACACCCACGCGGCGGGCAGTGTGCCGAAAATCGAATACGGCGATGAGTGCACCCTCGAGGGCGATCAGTCCAGCAGGCCGTAGCCGAGGCGCGCAGCGCAGCCCTACCACGCACCAAGGACGATCTCGAGGGGGCCTCCTCTTCTGCGGCAATACGAGGTATCGCACATTTCCAGAACGGCGTGGGGGAGCATCCTTTTTATCGCACAGGACGAAACGAGAGGATGTAGCTTGGTGCGGTCACTCGCCACGCACTGAACCGTCTTGGGCGCTGAGAAGGTCCAGGCGACTGCGAGGCACAACCCGATGTCACCTGCGCAAATCGCACGAGTTCAACTGCGGGGCGGTCTTAGGAGCGCGAGCAGCTCTAGCACAGCGGAGGGGACTGACGGGAGAGGAGGTCGGCCGGGGAGCTGCGGCCCACACACAACGAGAGACCTGCCAATCCCAGCACCAGCAGACGACTTCTTCTTCAGAGTCGAGCGGAGAACAAGAGCGCACTGCGACCGGCCCGGAATGTTTAAAATCCGAGACGGTACACCATGGAAGCCTGCTAGAGACACGCCCACGGAGTTGGCAAGCGGCGGCTCGGAAGGCGACGACGACGACACGCGGGGGGCGACAGACGCGGCGGCTGCCGCTTCCCACACGCCGCCGCGGCTTTCTCGCCCGTACGCTTCCGAGGGCGGCCCACGGCCGCACCGGTGCGGGTGCGAAGAGCCAGCCGCCGCAGCTGGCGCAAACGGGAACCCAAGGAGCAGCGGACGAGCACGCGGCGACAACCTCAGCAGCAGCGGGAGCACGGCACGCACGCAGCGCGGCACTAGCGGCATATGGGTCGGCCGCCTCGCGAAGGAGCGGGGCCGAAATAGGACAGCGACTTGGACGCCCGCAGCACGGCTGGGGCTGCCGCCCAGTTCTGCAGCGCGGAGGAGGAGGCAGCGAGGGCGAGGAATGCCGCGGAGACGCGCCGGCTACCGCGCACACCACGCGGGCTCAGACGGGCCCACGTGGCGATGCGTCTGCGCCGTCAAAGAGCACGCCGACCCTGCCCCAAAGAGCTGCTGCACAGATGCTTTCGGTTCGCGCGGCCCCGAAAACTGACACGCGTAGACAGACCGCACTGCCCGGCTGAACAAACAAAGGGCACCAGTTCGAAAATCCTGGATTCTGGGCGGTTTCGACCCATTTTTCTTTGGCAGGATGATCGGCATTCGAGCGTTCTGAAGAGCCATGCCTCCGGGATCGTGCCTGGACGGCCGACCGGCGCCATTTTGTGCAGCCGTCCGAAACTGCGCCGTCGTAACAATGGACGAGATATCCAAGGAACTTCAATCGGCTGGCTTGTCAGACGGGCGCATCGAAGTAAAACGCGTGCTACAGCGCCAGCAGTACAGGTTTAACGTCCAATCCTTTCCAACTTCACGCTTGGTCGGATCACTGAGCGAATGCTCCGTAAATAGAGATGAAATGAAAAGAATCGCGCGGCTTGTAGAACGGCGATTACTGTCGACAATGTTGGCACAGCGCGAAATACAGCTCAACCCTAATGCGGGACGAGTGCCAGTCCACACGAGCTCATCAATATTGCAATATGAGGACGTTATCCTTAAGGCATTCAGGTAAACAAAATACAAATATGTGTTTCAGTGCATAGAACGCCGAAGGATAGCGACCTGACTCATGGTATTGCAATATCGACCCATAGGCACATGGTAGTCGCATCCCTTCAAACAGCCATCGGCGACTATATATAATTGCCATATCGATAACTAGAACTCTCCCTAAGAGGAAGCGCACGGTAAACGCGAGAATATCTTCTTATTCAACCTCGGCACAGTTGAACACTAGGCTTGTGCATTTTCAGCAGAGCACGTTATAAGGGCAAAATACTGATCGAGTAGCTAATCCACGCTTAAAAAAAAAAAAAAAAAAAAACGTGGGCCGTGCAAATGGGTAGGAACCAAGAATGGCGCGAACGCACATTTTCTCCTTGCCTGTAGGATTTTCAGCCGAGAATCGAACACCATGACTATATATTGTCACATCAGAGATAGATGCGCATCGTAAGACCCCCTGATTTCAGCTGTATTGTGTACCACTTCAGCTCGTTTAGTGACAGTTCTGCGACTGCGTAGGACCAGTACCACGCATTCCGCACGAAGCATATGCAATACTACGTGCACTTCTCCTGCGCGGTGTCTGTTTATGCCGTCTTACACGAGTAACGCAGTGCAGCCCCTCCCGAGTCGAAGGGGTACTTACACGAATGTTCCAAGGAGAGTTTACCCTGCCCCAGAAATCTATAGTGACAGCTCTGTGCAAGTGTGAAGCTCTGTGAACGCTGATAAGATGTTTTCATTTTGACATCAAAGACGAATTCCGCATGGCATACACATCAGGCGACAGTGCCTATTTGGCAGCGACTTCACGCGTTACGGTATGGCTAGTTGTGATTGCGTTAGGCGCCAAAACATTCGTAACGGCCGCTTCTGCATCAACGAATCCAGGAACGAAGCGGCCGAGGAAACCTCACGATATCTTGCGCTAGCACGTGCCAAGAAACACATGCCGTATTTTGACGTTAGAGTACAGTAAGAGCCAAAACTATATGTAAAAAAAAACAAACAAACCGTAAGTACTTTTTCAGGTCGCACTGACGCTTGCCAGAAAATGTTCTAGGCTCTTCACGGCTGGGCTTTCGTTTGACGGTAAAAAAATCCAAGTCAGTATAACTTCTTAACGAAGTGCAGACGAACACAAACGATCCCACGTATCTTCCTGTATAGTTGTCACGAACGAGCGCTCAAGAAAGCGCACGCCCCCGAATTCCAGCGACGGCGACAATACCAAGCACCGTTCAGACGCGCCAGAAGCCAACGTAAAAGAAGGGTGGCAACTTGGGCTAGTTTGTATGACATGACGTGTCCTTCTTGTGTCTGTGTAATCGTTCTGTTCTCGCGCTATAACTATCATGTAAAAAAAGGCTCTCGCTCGCTGGATTCCGTGCCAACTGGTTGTGCCCTAGCAATCTCCGACGACAGCGTAGCCCTGGCCGACTGGACTCGCCCTACGACATCTCCTGACGCCGATCCCCGACGACAGAGCAGCCCTGGCCGACCGGACTCGCCCTACGCCATCTCCTGCCGCTGACATGAGCTCTCGCTGAGTGATGCCCCGTCCTCGGACTCCTGCGACCGCTTCCATCTTTTCTGTCTCCTCTTTACTTCCGTCGCTCGCTGTCCTGCGCCTCGCTCCCTCCTTTCTCTCTCTATATATACCTTTTAATCCTATCACTTTAATCCCTCCTTATCCCCCTTCCTTGTGAGATACTATTGAAGTGCCGCACCTGATGCAGACAGTTACGGGGCTCACTTTTTCTAATTTTTTTCCCTTTAAGAACCACATAAGAAAGAAAGAAAGAACGTAAAAGAAGAAAACAAGCATTGAAGGACTCTGCGGGCGCGCCACCTCTCCTCCTCGAAAGACGCTGCGCTACGCTGACCAACCTCCAGAACCGAGCAACTTCCAGAATCATCGAGAAGGAAAGCGTGAGTCGCTCCATAGTTGCGTCCGGTGTCGCAGATAGTTCGAGAAAAGTCTAACCCTTCCCCAGCTTTGGCTGTACAGCGCGCCGACGAACCTTCCAGAACCCAGGGCGAACGCATATAAGCGAGCAGCGGATAGTGGTGATCAGTTTGCACCAGTGTGCGTAGGGTAGGAAATGAAGAGAGCTGGTTCTACAGTGACCAAGCAGATGAGATGAAGAGGTTTTCCACCTGCAGGCGAACGCTTGTCTTACAAGCAGCAGTTGAGCGTCTGTCTACCGCCTGTGGGCGAAGACGTGCTCTGCAGTCGCAGCGCGTGAGTGGCCGACGTGTTGCCGGCGAAGACGTTTTGGGTATTAAAGTGCGGACATTTGACGTCGCGAGAGTTTACTAGAAGAGAAACCTCAACGGAGAAACAACCAGCGCTGGACTTTGAGTGAGTGTCTCCATGAAGAGAAGCATTTAAGTATTGTTCCAAGAACTTTGGACTGAGTTCGGACATTTTAGTCTATAAGTGCCTTGGATGGTTAATTCACGAGATTGCATTGCAAAGCGTGTTGTTTTCTGTGTCCGTTGAAAGTGTATGTGGTTGTATTGTGTAGCCCGTTGTTCGATTGGTGACGTAATATTGTATTATATTATTGTCGAGTGTGCATGTTTGTGTGTTGTTTGTTCTGCCGTATTTGAGAATACATTTTTTTTTTATCAACTCTCGGATCTGACTCGTTCTTTGGACCACAGCCGGCATTCGCTGGCGCGCCAAATGGGACCAAATCTAAATGGCCCGTGCTTTCGTGGTGCATTTCGGGTGGCTGATACGTCGGCCCTTGGAATTAGCCCAGCGCTTGCCTCCCTAATTTCGGCACTGGTGACAATAGTACGGCCGCTATGCACCGAGTTTATGCTAAGAATTCGCTTAACTAGTAAGCGAACTGCACTTGCGAGCTTGAGGCTCTGCCTGCTTTAGCAAGTGAGAGTGAAGGAGGCAGTCACGCCCACCGACCTCTCGATCCTGTGGCTCCTGCGGCAGGTCGGCGGGTTCCGGCAGCTCCGGGAGGCGCGAGTGCTGCCGGTCGTAGACGCACCGGTGCAGCTGCTCATCCAGCAACCGGAAGTTGTCGTAGGAGCGCCGCAGCGTCCAGCTACGCTCGCGGCTCGTCACCTGGACCGCCCACCAGGTCGCAGCAGGAGCCGTACTGCCACCGCTGCAGCAGCTCTCGTTGCTGGCCTGTTGCTGCAACTGCTGCTGAGTCTGTTGCTGTTGCAGCTGAGTCTGCGAGGGCTGCTGCTGCTGCTGGTTGGCGGGTTGCTCGCGATTCTCCTTGTCCGCCTCGTCGTGGCCCCGCCCGGCGGCGCTCCATTCCACCAGCGACATCTGCGAAGCACGCACGGGAACAACTTTTTGTCAGAGTTAAGGACATACGACCGCGTAACAGGCCCACTTTCATATCGCACATGATTAAACGGGCAACTGTATATTTATCCTCTCATATGTCATTACTTTCGTTTCATGCAGATTAATTTTAAGGTGGGTCTTAAAATTAATCCGCAGAAAACGAAAGTAATGTACAACAACCTCGGAAGAGAGCAGCGCTTCGATATAGGTAATAGTGCACTTCAAGTTGTAAAAGACTATGTCTACTTAGGGCAGGTAATAACCACGGAGCCGAACCACGAGATTGAAGTAACTAGAAGAATAAGAAAGGGGTGGGGCACATTTGGCAAGCACTCTCAAGTTATGACAGGTAGATTGCCACTATCCCTCAAGAGGAAGGTATATAAGAGCTGTATCTTGCCGGTACTTAGCTACGGAGCAGAAACCTGGAGACTTACAAAGAGGGTTCAGCTTAAATTGAGGACTACGCAGCGAGCGATGGAAAGAAAAATAGTAGGTGTAACCTTAAGAGACAAGAAGAGAGCAAAGTGGATTAGGGAACAAACGAGGGTTAAGGATATTATAGTTGAAATCAAGAAGAGGAAATGGACATGGGCAGGGCATGTAGCACGCACGGGAACAACTTGATACATGCGGCAGGATAACCGCTGGTCATTAAGGGTAACTAGCTGGATTTCCAGAAAAGGCAAGCGGGTTAGGGGGAGAGAGAGGGTTAGGTGGGCAGATGAGACTAAGAAGTTTCGCGGTATAAATTGGCAGCAGCAAGCTCAGGACTGGGTTAACTGGCGGAACATGATAGAGGCCTTTGACCTGCAGTGGACGTAGTCAGGCAGATAATGATGAATGATGATGATGTCGAAACACTTTCGCGGCATCATCATCATCATCAACAGCACGAACGCCACCATAACCAAGCATTTTTATGCCAACTTCCCGGCAAAGGTGATTTTCAACCCACCCTGTTCTCAACGATTTTCAAACCCACCCCGTTCTCAGCGAGCTAAATCAGTAATGACTGCCACGCAGAAAGAAAATGAAAGTTCATGTACACTGCATGTTATAAACTACGCCCGATCCCAGTTGAGAATTTCCAAAGACGTTAGCGCACTGCCGCAGTGACGGGGATTCCCCGATTTCTTCATCGCAGTGCCTTCCAAAGTCCCCCGTGGAGCGAGGACGCACGCCAAAATTCCACGAAGCGATCAGTTTTTAGGTTAGTTTATCTGTCTCAACCACGGATGGTCTTAACAGCACCACCGAGTGACAAATCGAGTCGTGTCGCCGGGTTTTGGTTCGATCATTTGTTGCTCAGTGACCTGCTGCAAGGAGGAGAACGTCTGAATGCGTCCTCCAATGGGATAGTGCTTACTTTTGAAACGCACAGCATACACCCTGCGGCGCGAGCGTATGAAAATTAATCCCTTGTTTACTAGGAAACTGGGAATGCCCACGTATATATAGCCAGCCGTCCTCGAGACTAAGCGATCATGTGTGCGCCGAACTGAGCGAAACGGGATTTGGAAGGACTCCCCGACAGGCATAAAAAAGAAATAATCGCAGAAAGACATGCAGCCCTAATTCGTCATGAGTTGGTTCGTCGAGTTCAACGGCCTTTTCGAGAAGAGTTAGGAAAAACCAACGACGACAGGGAATAGTAAAACACGCCACACCCGCTCCGACTCGAACTAAAATTCTCGCGTACACGACCGCGCCCCATAAGAGCAGCTCACTGACCCGGCCACTCGATGATTTGATTTGATTGACATGTGGGGTTTAACGTCCCAAAACCACCATATGATTTTGAGAGACGCCGTAGTGGAGGGCTCCGGAAATTTCGACCACCTGGGGTTCTTTAACGTGCACCCAAATATGAGCACACGGGCCTACAACATTTCCGCCTCCATCGGAAAAGCAGCCGGGATTCGAACCCGCGACCTGTGACCCAGCCACTCAAGGTGTTGAAATGTTCTAGTGAACCATTATGAATAATACGACAGTTTATCTCCTCCATAAGGAGAGAAGAAAGCACCATTCAACATGAAAAAAAATAGAATGTTCGACTATGAACATTTCAAAAGGAACATAAAATAGCAATGAAAAATTCGGCAGATCCCACGTCTTATCTGCGAATCGATCTCACGCTAAGCAGCCGGTAAATAGTTGTCCGTCCTGTTTTTCTCTCTCCCTCTCTCTGTTTGAGGCAAGTGTTACAAGGTTAAGTGCAGTACTTGTGTGCCAATCGTGGGCTTCACTGGAACTTCCACTACATGGGCGTCTACTGATAACTAGATTGGGTAACTTAAGGTCCTGACATTAAAACCAGCCCTACACGTTAGAAAACAGGCGCAATATTATCGAAACAAAGTGCGCTTTACGGTGTGACGATGAGAATACCACACGTATTAGGCGAGTTAACTTTCATTCATCATTCCCTCGGGATCGGGAAACACTTGAATATAGCTTGCTGAACGACACGAATACGAGATGTAATATTTTATTGGACTGCTATGAAAGTGGAGTCAACATTGGAACGACAATTGACGTCAACCCAGCATAACGTCTGTGTCATGGGCTCACAGTGTAATTTTTTACTGCTTTGCTGTAAGAATATATAAGCGAGCACTGCAACCGCAACTGAAGTTACACCGACCTTATAGGCCTGCATAGTGTTTATTTTTTCAAATGAGTTTGCCCTTTGGAGTTGCCGGAGGTCCTGCCCCGTTTCAGACCCTGATGGACCGACTACTGGAGGGAATTAATCACCAGTTTGCCATGGCGTTTCTCGATGATGTCCTGGTGTATTCGAAGACCCTAGAGGATCATCTTGAGCATGTTCGGGAGGTGTTGAAGCGGATAAGTTCGGCACAGCTGACCATTAACCCAGAAAAGGTGCACGTGTGCTGTCAATACCTTAAGTTCCTTGGCCATGAAATATCGCCCGGGCAGTGTAGGCCGGACAAGGAAAAAGCAACGTTGGCGGTGGGAGCTGCAGCAAGAGGAAGCCTTTGGAGCACTTAAGCAGTCCCTGGCCGACGATGTTGTTGTAAACTTGCCGGACCTCAACAGACCATTCGTGGTGGAAACAGACGCCAGTGGAGTCGGCATTGCAGCGGTGCTTCTGCAGGCAGCCGAGAGTGATGCTCAACTGCGTCCAATAAGCTTCATTAGCAGGGTCCTCACTGAGGCAGAGCAGCGCTATACAGTGCAAGAATGGGAGTGTCTGGCTGTGGTGTGGGCAGTGGACAAGTTCCGACCATACCTTGAGTTCACCGAGTTTGAGGTACACTGTGATCACTCCTCACTATCCTGGATGTTCACCACAGACCAGGCCTCACCACGTGTAAAGCGTTGGGTTTTGCGGCTGCAAGGTTTCAACTGCAGAATCAAGCACAGGCGGGGTCTTGCAAATGTGCCAGCCGACGCCTTGAGCAGAGCTCCCCTTCAGCACAAGGAAGTTCCAAGTCCCGATGATGATGACGCCGTCACGTAACGCCCTCTCTCGGCCACCCTCACAGGTAACCTGTGAGGGTGGCCGAGAGAGGGCGTTACGTGACGGCGTCATCATCATCGGGACTTGGCCGAGAAAGGGCCCTACGTGACGGCGTCATCATCATCATTGGGACTGGAGTGTGTGGGGGTTGCGTGTGTGGGGAAGGGAGAGTTCGAGCTGGTTGGAGGGAGTGGCAAGACGTAGCGGTGTGTGGTGTGCGATTTAGGGTTAGCGCGTCACAAGTGGGGGCTCGTCCGGGATGGCTTCAGGCCCGACAACAGGAGCGGACGACATGCCTTGGCTCCAAGGTCTCGTTGAAGAGTGGTTGCTGGGCACCGACGGCTCCGCCATGGAGCGCGAACGAATCGCGGCGGTCGTGCGCGATCGAGTGATGGCGACGCCGCTGCCCAAGGCTCTGCACGTGGGAGCATGGACTGGGGCCGCTAACACTGGCGCGGTCCCTCGGGCCACCGACGACTCTGCGCCTCGGCTCGCCGCTGCGCACCTCCCCCGCTACTCCGGTGCTAGAGACTTGCAGTCGCCGGAGGAGTTTCTTGAACGTTTGGAGAACTTCTGCCTCGTGACGGGGGTCGCCGCCGATAAGCGACCGACACACGTGGTACCGGCTGCCTTCGAGGGTGGCGCGAAGTTGTGGTGGCGGTTCGTGCGCGGGTTCAACTCGTGGGAGCAATTCACCGCCGCCTTCCGCTCCGAGTTCTCGTCGATTGACGCGAAGCGTCGCCTGAAGGCGGAGCTCGAACTCTCCCTTCCCCACACACGCAACCCCCACCACTCCAGTCCCAATGATGATGATGACGCCGTCACGTAGTGCCCTCTCTCGGCCAAGTCCCGATGATGATGACGCCGTCACGTAACGCCCTCTCTCGGCCACTCTCACAACTTTATCGAATTTTCATAAATTTCTTCAGCCACTCATCTATGAAAACATTCCGTGTACGTTTTCTCTGTAGCTATAGTTCCCAGTTTCATTATTCACGGGATTCAATGACACGATGTCCTCTGCGGCAGCTACGATGCTCGGCTGCTGGCCTGAAGAACGCGGACTCGATCCCAGCTGCGGCGGTCGCATTTCGACGAAGGCAAAATACTGGGCAACCATGTACTGTGCGATATCAGTGCACGTTGGATTACATTTCTGAAGCCCTCCCATACTGCGTGCTTTATAACAACACCGTGATTTTGGCGCGTATGTGTTGTTTGTTTCATTATTATTATTATTACTATTATTATTGAACCAACACGATTCTGTCATTGAAAGTGTTAAACCAATCACGTCACGCTACACGCGTTCTACCACGATCACGGGGGTAATCGCCGCGAGTCGCTTCCATAATCTACAGAAACGTCGCAGCTGGCAGTTTGTTACACCACGTAAAAGCTATCGTGTGAACGACCGACACAGCCAGCTCGGCGTCGCTACGTAGCTCGCATGTACCGTCGCACGCAACGCTACGCTGCCTTGGCAAAC